GTGCTGGCCAGGTGAGCTACACTGTAGTCACATAATCACATTTTAAAAATATCTATTCTCAGAGTTTCTGAGGTATCATAAATTACCCCTTAATTTCATGGCTAGATAATGGGAACGTTTGTTTAGAGTTGATTAAAAGAATTATCCCTGGCCAAAAGCACTTTCCTAAGACTTGTGTACAGGAATTAAAAAAACAGATTGTAGAGGCTGGAGAGATGGCTCAGTGGTTAAAAGAACTGGCTGTTCTTGCAGAGGACCTGGGTTCAATTCCAGCACCACATGGCAACTAACAACCACCTGTAACTCCAGTTCCAGGGAATCCAATGCCCTCTTCTGACCTCCACAGGTATTGCACAACACAGGTGCACTTACACACATGCAGGCAATACATTCATACCCAAGAAATGAAAATAATAAATAAAATATTAAAAAAATGTATATGTAAAAACAGATTGTGTCAATACCTATTCTGGATATTTTAGCATTCTTCACCAATATACCTCTGTCCACTAGTGAGGCCTGCTTCTCTAATCATCCCAACTCCATCCCTGACCTTGGTTCCCAAAGCTTAACTCATGTTCTTCCTTTCAGCCTTCACTGTCTCCTCTGATACACTACCAACATAATTCCCAATAGAAGGCTGGTAAAGAAACATGAATAAAATAAGCCCGGGATTTCTATGTGCAAACAATCTTTTGAGTAAGACTCTTTCCTCAGGGCACACACTCCCTTAAATTAGTAACATTGTGTGTCTCCTCCCCCACTGATCTCTGGGAGTTGTAAAAGTGTTGTGTTGACCAGATTGTCTTGATTTTACTTCTTTTAATCCTTTCTAGTATTTCCCATAATACATACCACAGGATGTGTTTTATGTATTTAAACATATATGTATGTATTTATGTGTGTCCACGCCTAGTAAGTTTGAATGGTAGACTTGAAAAAATATGGAGTTGTCTTTTCTGCAAGACTTCTTAAAACCTTTATAATATCTGCTGTGGTGAACCATCAGGAGCAAGCCTTATTACACAGTCATCTACAAACTCTTTAAACTGACCACAGAATCTTCTTTCCTTAAGCATCTAATAGGATGCATAGTCTATGATGTTTGTGTTGAGGTGCATTCAGCATGTTATAATCACTTAGAATGTTTGTGACTATCTGTGCTATAGAGTGGGACTCTACTTGGTGATGGTTGGTATTTTTTATTAAAGTTTTTCTGGTAGTTTTGATGATCCACAACATTTGGATTCCTCTGTTCTAGATTTTTGATCTCTGAGTCTGAATACGTTCATACCCTGACCCTCTTGAGTTCTCACAGTATAAGTTTGCACCATTGCCCATTTGCAGATAAATAATTCTTATACAAGAGATGACTGGAATCATTAGGTAAACTACCCAGGGACTTGGTATGATGAAAATTACTGGTCTGTTTTAAGACTTTAGAAACCACTTCATAAGCTCAGTCAACATTCAGCTCTTTCTTAAGAGTCCATTGAGCTTCCTACAAGTTTCACACATGGTACTCTGGACTGGTTTGCATGTTTCTGTATTTTGTTTCATTGTCTATATCTTGTATTTTTGCAGATCATATTCAGAGTAAGGCTCAATTGGATAATAAAGAGCTAAACTAATAATACTTGAGAATCTCACGCACACACCACACACTCACGGTAGAAGTGGGTTAGGATTGACTCAGAGAGGTGGTCAACGTGGCAGTATAGGGTGTACCATTTGTTCTGCTGAGATAGCAGCATCTTAAGCATTAGCTCAGTAGCATCTGCTAACACTGTCCAAAATGTTTTCTCTGTTCTTTCTCTGTTCATTTTTTAGGTCCATGGAAATACATACCACTAATATTTCAAGAGTAAGATAACCAAGTTGTCCTAGTTAGCTGGGACTTTTCTAAATTTGACAATGAAATTCACTATCCAGGAAAATCATGATTGTTGGCCAGCTGTGCAGTTCAGAAATAATACTCGTTTCCTGTCAGCCAGGCATGATGCTGTCCAACTGTAATATCAGCAATTGGAAGGCAGAAGCAGGAAGATCCTAAGTTTAAGGGCAGCCTAGGCTATACAGAGAGCTCAGGCCTGCCTAGCTACATAGTGACACCCTGTATCAAAAAACAAGTAACAAAAACAATAGACACCATTACCAACAATAACAATAACAAAAAAAGAGTTCCCCAATCAATAAAATTCAGGAAATGGGTATATACACATGATCACTTGAGCTCAGAAATTTGAGGCAAGCCTGGGCAAAATAGACTTCATCTCAAAACACACAAATAAATGAATGTAAGATCCCATTCTACCCACCTGAATTAATTTCTTACTGCCGCTTTAAATGGCATAAACGTAATGGCTTAGAGCACTATTATTTGTCCTCTTATGTTTCTGGAGGTCAGAAATTGCAAGTTTACAGGGCTTTGGAAAATGAAGGGAGAATGGTTTTCTCTTGCCTTTTTGAGCTAACACAGGCCACCTGTATTCCGTGGCTACTGACCCCATGCTCCACCTGTAAAGCCTCTGCTTCTGTGCTCACATTTCTTTCTCTCTGGCTCCCTTCTCCCGTTGTCTTTCCCTTACACCAACATGTCATTGCATGGGCCCTGCTGACAGGCCAACATTTCCCCACTTCAGGATCTTTAACTTAATCACTCTGTTTTGCTGTGTAAGATAGCATCAGTTTCAAGCACTGGAACATGGACATTACAGGGCTGTGAGGAGGGGGGCATTATTCTGCCAATCATCTCCTCCCTCTTTTGGACTTGATAGAACATCTTAATGTATTAGAGAAGCACTTTTTTTTTCTTTTTTCAGTCTTTTTGATACAAGGTCTCCCTGTAGCCCCAGCTGTCCTGGAACTCACTATGTAGACCAGGATGGCCTTGAACTCAGAGAGATCCTCCTGCCTCTGCCTCCCGAGTGCTGGGATTAAAGGTGTGTGCCACCACACCTGGCTTAGAGAAGCACTTTTAAAGCCTCATAGAAAAGAATTCATTTCATTTTGCTTAATTCTCAGTCTTTTTCAAATTGAATCAAAAGACTTTTTTTCTTGCCATGAAACACTATTTTTTGTTTTTAAAGATTATTT